GAAAATAAAAATATACTAGCAATTTCTATAATGGTTTATTCAAGTGAGCAAAATATAATGTACAGAAAGATTGTCCGTATTACACTGAAAAGTAAGCAACCGACAGCCTGTATAAAAAGGGGGGCTGTGATTGGCTGTTACTTACGCGAGATTTGACGGGACTTACATAGGCGTCGGATCAGATGTAGGTAGGGCGGAATTAAAAAAAATCAAAATCAATGTAAAATAATAAAATAAAAGGGCATTAATAACAAAAGTAATAAAAAATAAAATTAAAATAAGTTTATAGCCAAAATAATTAAAGCCCGTACACTACATCAGATTTTAATCAGATTGCCCGTGTACGAAACCATGAAAAATGGTGAACGCGAGTGAGATCTAAAAAGTTTATTTTGTCTCGAAATGTACCACTGAATATGTCTCTTGGGATGTTTTACATGGGTTTCGGCATCAAATAAAGTATAAATAGATGGGAATAAAAAAAAAAAACGAAAAAAACATATATATATATACTGTTCATCTAATGCATGCAATAATGTGTGTGTTATTATTATTTTTTGGTTTTAACTGAGGCAGCTGTTAGAGTGTTTTTTTAATGTTTAATCTCACTTTTTGTGAAGCAATTATGAACATATTTTCATAACTCAATTAGTATTTCCTCGACCTTATTTCCTTACTTACTTATTATCCTCACTTCAACTACTTTGTTGTTTAGATAAATTTTAAGTATATTTATGCATTCCTACAAAAACATGCGTCTCATTTTCGATGTATTTCTTTCTGAAATATCAACATTGTTAAATCTTCCCCTTTCAATTTGTAACTAATTGTTAAATTGGTTAACGAAGATCCGCAATGTGGGTTTTTAATTATGTCTTTTTCGTATTTTTCGTATGAAAAATCTTATTTAAACTGCCTATATGTGCGCGCTTTATTTTTGTGATTTTCTCCCTTGTTGTCATAAATTAACGATTCTGTAATATTTAATTTGACCATTTCCGTCTTCATATTTTCCCTCTTCCAAAATGTGTTTCATATTTATTATTTTTAGCACATGTTTAATGCTGTATACTCAGTTTTGTATTCCAGCATTGTCTAGTTGTATGCCTAGTTAATAAACTTCATATTTGTTGGCATTGTGTTAATTCTTAGCCAATATTTCATTATTTGGTTGATGTCTGATAAATCTAATGGGATCCTTCCTGTTTCTAACAAACAGGCTAGGTTGGTTGCTCTACTATTTTCAATATTTTATGTTTGTTTTTATCAATTGGTAGCAGCAAGTTAAAGAATGTTAATTTATATTGTTTGTAAGAAAAAACAAAACTAAATTGCAAACACACTGATTAAAAAGTAGTACCAAATCGATTTGTTTAGTATAAGGGCGACAAAGTGAACGACGCCAGTTATTTTTATCAGCATTAGCATTCTTGCTATATCATACGGTAGATTCACGTGCAATGTGGTAAACACAGTTCACAGTCACGGGTGACACAATTACACGTAGTGTAGACTGTTTATGTTGGCCGTCATGGTGGGATCGTAAAGTATTATACATGTAGGCGGATGTTTTTAGCCCAATTTATAAATGTAGGCGATATATAATTCATGTGTTAACATTCGGAACATTAAACAAGCATGATGGTATGTTGCTTTGAAATCCCCCGACTCATTCGAAACACAATCTTGTTCACATGGTGTTAAAACGGTGGTCGTCACCTGCGCACGCGCGGGAATTGAGTCCCAAGCGATGATAAGAACACACGCTAAAAACGCAACGGCTCATGGATAGACGCGTGTTTGTAAACATTGCCACGTTATGGCCATCTGACGCATGCGCAGGTGACGACTACCCCGCTTTAAATAACAGGTCGCAAGTTTTCGGTGAAGATTAGTAATGTATATTCTAAAAGATTATAATTTAGAAAGACAGCTATTTCCGGCCACGAAGGATCCGTGTTTTGTACAACGAACTAATAAACATCGAAGTATTATGAGGATATCCTCGTCGAAATTATGTTTATTTTAGTTTCACAGTCGACTGCAAGACGTTTGTTTTGAAGAGCGAGAATTTCAACAAAATTAAATGGAATGCGTGTATGATTGAAGTGTAACTTGTACTCACAGTCCCTCTAGAGGAACTGTGTTGTACTGAATGTAAGAGACTGTCTTCATTTGTTATGGGTTGTGACTATTATGCAAATTATCTGTCTATTGTGGCTTTGGCCGATTAATTAAAACAATGACATGTGCTTTTGTTTTTAATTAAGAAAAATGAATTTTTCACTCTATAAAAACATCCATTTCATTTTTTTCCTACTGAGTGTTTGCTCCTTGTAGTCCAGCATTTAAAAATACAAAAAAGTAGAATTTTTGGTTTCAAAGCATCCTTAAATGTGTCCTTATTTTAAAATTTTAGTACAGAATGTTACCGCTCAGTAAATTGACTAAAGCATTCATGTTTCATCGCGGGTTACACCGCGCTTTTCTCCATAGGCTTCCACAGTTGATAAGGTTGACGTCCGTCCGCGGTCGTGAATAAGGTTTGCGTATCGCATTTTATGTATGTAATAGTGTCTGAAAACTAGCATACTCGACGAATTTAATAACCGAACAATAAAAACCACAATAAAAATAAAAACACACACTCAAATGACAGTTAATGGTGTAAATATTCCGAGTCGTAATATCGTCAGTATGGCGACATTAGATCGAGGTTGGTGAGCTGCGCCCTCTACGAACGAAGTTATAAAATACCCATATACATGTACTAGTAATCAAAAAGACAGCATACACACAATAGACGATCCGAGATATACCTTGCACAAATTTCTCGTGAAAATTGCTATATCCCAGCTCTGGGGGCGATGTTTGGGGTCATGATCCTAAATAAGACCTCATTAGTGACACTTGCTAAATATTCTACACTTGTTGAATATGCTGGAATACTGGCAGATGACAGTGGAAACATGGTCTGTTGAATTTCTAAGAAAGTAAAATCACAGGTCTTAACCTAGTGCTGAACTTTGAAGACTTCAACAATTGTACCGGAACACTCATCGAGTGAGCTGGCTTATGGAACTCTGGGTGACCCTATTTGAAAAGAAGATGTGCCTTGGCGGGCTAGCTCCGCCTCCATTTCAACGCCTGGTTGAACTTTCGCCTGCGTCACTGGGTGCTGTTCAATGACTTTTGAAGTACTTCACTGCATGACCGGACACTTATACTTATGACCGCTTTAGTTATATCTGGCCAGCTATTTGTTTTGACCTTAAAGGGAGATAGTCGTTGCGCCACGCATGCGCGAGATACATGGGTCTCATATAAACAAAGATGGCGACTTTGACTGTTGCACAGATCAACGACTACAAACTGGTACGTTACCGAGCTTTAATTAGATATTTTCAGGTGATTGGAAGGTATCGACGAAGTAACCGGCGGCAATTAGTTGAAGTCACGCCCAGGTCGAACCTCATACTTGTAATTTTCATTAGAAGAGCGCATTGGATTGTGGGAAAATCAATGTTTATCAACACAAATGATGCGCAGCGCGACGACCACCGCCCTTTAAACTTTGTACTACTGTTGTTGAAACCATTGTAATTTATCTGCACTAGTTGACGTTGTCAGTTGTGTTTCTGCATATAATACGATGCATAAAACTAATATAGGAAATTTTCCCGTGAAAACAAATGATTTTAATCTGATATATTTTGTAGAACCTCCGAAATATGGTATGCAAACTGTTGACTTATCATAGATTGTTGCCAGTGTTACGTGCCTTCAAACACCTCAAGAAATACGCGACCCTGGCCGATATATATTACCAAACCATTCACTGAGTATACACATCTAGTTAATCAGTAACTCAGTGACGTATGTGACCCTTGGGCGGGCACATACAATGACGTTTACAATAATATAACATGGCGGTGAGCGGAAAACTTGTCTACAAAGTAATTCTGCTCGGTGAACTCGGAGTCGGAAAAACGTCCCTGTTTAGGAGGTTGCGTGACAACGTTTACGAAGAAACGATAGCCGTGGCATCGGGAATTGACTGTTGTTTTAAAAAGTTTGAAGTCGACGGGGAGCAGATCAAGGTAATTATATCGTCTATACTAAAACACCAAGAATTGCCGGTTGTACGCGATTCATTTGAAATAAACACTCGCAGTTGGATGTTAACTGCATGATCGCTGACAGGGCGTGAAAACGAAGAGAAATGGTAAGTGAAGTGAATAGAAATATGCCTCGACGTCGAGTATTGTAGCATCGCGATATGTTACGTAATTGATATACTAGTATCGTATACCCACAAATGTACAACGTGTCGGCTTATATGGTTTAATATGGGTTAGCTTTGGAACACAGCACAGAATACCACAACATAGAGAAACGATGAAAAACTAAATGGGCATTGGACCAAATCGACTGGCTATTAATCCAAGCTGCGGAAGTGAATGAATAAATACATCGCCAGTGTGAATGATATTTACATCACAAACACACTTCAAGTATATGAACACCACTGTAATACCTGTAAACTATTTAGTACAGTCCTGGAAAAATAAAAATCAATTTGTTCTCTCGCTGGGAACGTTATTTTGATTCTAGCTTTATTTGTATTTGTGTCGTGTCTACTGTTCTCGTCAAAGAATTTGTAAATTACCTTTATTTAAAAAAAAACACGTTTCAATTGAAGTTTTATCTATATTGTTCATGTCTACAGTTGAATATATGGGACACTGCTGGCGTTGAACGGTTCCGCACTTTGACCAAGAATTATTACCGGGGTGCGCATGCTGCAATCTTTGTGTACGCCCTCGACGACCCTTCGTCTATACAGTACCTCTCTCAATGGGTAAGAGACGCAAATGACTACGCCGACGAGGGTGAGTGTGAATGATATCACTTCAATTGAGGGATGAGGAATTATGAGGGATGGAGCTTAAAGCGGGAGAGTCGTCACCTACGATATGCGTCAGGTGGCCATAGCGCGTCATTGTTTACAAATAAGCGTTTATCCACGAGCTCTTGCGTTCTTAGCGTGTGTTGTTATTGTCGCTTGGGGCTCAATTCCCGCGCGTGCGCAGGTGACGATCCTACCGCTTTAATGGCGGATCCAGATTTAAACACTGAATATCGCCTGATTTATTTTTTGTAATGGCGCGCAGACAATTCAGAAAAGTGTCTGTACGTTTCACAAATGACCTGGCACATTGACCATTGTATACTATACATACTAATATCACAACTGCTCTGACTTGTATTTATATTCACAGTCAGCTGGCGCACACGTGATAATAAAATAAATGCGATTTTCACTATATATGGGGGCCGCCATCTTGAATGCGGCATAAAACTAAATAAGAGACAAGTTATGAAACGCGTTTTTCAGATTCCTACAAATCAGGACAAAAATACCAATCTTTCACAAAAATATGATCCGTTTGGGTTATATTAAGCCAACCGATAACAAAATTCAGCCGAATTCGTCGTTTTTGTGTGGAAAAATCCCGTAAATACGAACACCTAATTACACGAAGAACATAGAACACTTTCCTGGGGTATTGATATAAATAACATTAAATGTATTTTATATTTTAGCAACTCGGATAATGATTGGTACGAAGTTAGACACCGCAGTGCTTGTCGATACTGACACTGTGAAAAACTTTGCGGCTACACACTGTATAGACCACATGTTTACTATTTCTGCAAAAACGGGTAATTATCATACATCAAATGTATATACATTGTATTTCTAAACAAGTAATTATCATACATCACGGGTATATATGTATGAACAGGTAAATAACACACATCACAGGTATATATGTCTAAATAGGTAATTATCAAACATCACAGGTATATATGTCTTAACAAGTAATTATCAAACATCAAAGGTATATATGTCTAAACAATTAATTATCAAACATCACAGGTATATATGTCTAAATAGGTAAATATCATACATCACAGGTATATATGTCTAAACAAGTAATTATCAAACATCACGGGTATATATGACTAAATAGGTAAATAACACACATCACAGGTATATATGCCTAAACAGGTAATTACCAAACATCACAGGTATATATGTCTAAATAGGTAAATAACACACATCACAGGTATATATGGCTAAACAGGTAATTATCAAACATCACAGGTATATATGTCTAAATAGGTAAATATCATACATCACAGGTATATATGTCTTAACAAGTAATTATCAAACATCAAAGGTATATATGTCTAAACAATTAATTATCAAACATCACAGGTATATATGTCTAAATAGGTAAATATCATACATCACAGGTATATATGTCTAAACAAGTAATTATCAAACATTATAGGTATATATGACTAAACAGGTAATTACCAAACATCATATGTATATATGGCAAAACAGATAATTATCAGACACCACGGGTTTATATGTCTGAACAAGTAATTATCAGACATCACAGGTATATATCGCTAAACATGTAATTATCATACATCACAGGTATATATGGCTAAACAGGTAATTATCATACATCACGGGTATATATGTCTGAACAAGTTATTATCAGACATCACAGGTATAAATGTGTAAATCTGTATGTATCATCAAAGGTATATCTGTCTAAGTAAGTAATTATCAACACAGTTATATGTGTATAGTATACATAGATGCGATTTACGAATACATTATGATTATAATAATGAATTGCTTATATTATTTAAGGTGAAGGTGTTGAAGACTGTTTTGTCGAGATTTCTAGATTACTACGGGCCCCAAGTAAAGACACACAGAGACTGATGGCATATATGCACAATGTGGACTTAAACGAAGGCGTGTCACCCAATGAGAAGAAGCTGTTTGGATGTTGCAGCTGATATTCGTGGTATATTTAACGAAAACAAACTTAAATGTGCCACGTGGTGGCGCTATTGTCATACATTCTGAAGGAACAAACGTTTATTCCCACATATTTTACTCAAGGATCATCACCATAGTAATATATTTATTCAACATTTTTAAGATTTGTTATTCAGCGTTTGTTTATCCTATAGGAAATATTACATTTGTATGTTTTCAAGAAGTACAATGGACAGGAAAACGACAAAGGTACATAATGTTCTATTGCCGGTATTTTTGATCGACCTCCTTTAAATTTAAATAAATTTGAACATAACACAAACATTTATGAAATGCTCGACCATTTGAAATAAATGTTGGGCCTTCATATCTTGCGAACACCGCAACTTTTGCGTTTGTCAATGCATCAAACAATATTGGCGACAATATCGGATCCATTATCGTTTTTTATCATTACAAACACATGCTTATTACTGTAATAGATGTATTTCTGAATTCCTGTAACAGTAAGAATTAATTTCTAATGAGAAAAACTATTTTACAGTATTACTGCCTATATTCTGTGATATAATCCGCATTCCCATACACTGTCATGGAAATGCAACACATGTCACGTGGTACAAGTACAGTCGAGCGGAGCTTATCGTGTGAGTGATTGTCCGTCGTCGTCCGTGTCTATGTTTTACTTTTTCGACTTCTTGAAAACTACAAGTCTGAATGTTTTAATACTTGGTGTATATGTACCTTGGGTAGACCTCTCTTAGGTTTGTTCATTTCATGATGATATCTTCAATTCTCTAATTTTGGTAAATATTTTCGACTTCTTGTTAGAAACCGCAAGTCCAATTGCTTTGATGTTACATATATAGATACTACATGTGGACCTCTCTCAGATTTGTTCATTTTGTAATGATATCTTTAATTCTCTAAGTTTGGTGAATATTTTTGTCAATTTTGGTAAAAAGTGATATTTTCGACTTCTTGTTAAAAACCGCAAGTCCAATTGCTTTGATATTACATATATAGATACTACAATTTGGATCTCTCTCAGATTTGTTCCTTTTGTAATGATATCTTTAATTCTCTAATTTTGGTGAATATTTTTGTCAATTTTGGTAAAAAGTGATATTTTCGACTTCTTGTTAAAAACCGCAAGTCCAATTGCTTTGATATTACATATATAGGTACTACGTGTGGACCTCTCTCAGATTTATTCATTTCGTGATGAAAATAGCAAGTCTACATATTGTTCATATTCTAATGATATCTTATGTTCTTTAATTAAAATGTGCATTGCTAACAACGGAGCTATCTCAGCCGACAGGCTGCTTATTTGTTTGTTTGTTTTGTTTTGTTTTTGACGAAAACAGGGTCACTTTAATCCTTTTACGTAAAATCGACACACACAACAAAAGCAGAAAAACTCGATGATTTTATGCGCAGACCAATTTGGGTAGCGACGTTATTGGCCCACGTGTTGAGTGAACGTGATCATGATTTGAAATTTTCCTCGCTTCTGTGAAAGAGCCATATTTCGCAAATTTGACTTTGAATTTCGTAACAAATGACATTCTCGTGCAGCCTGAGAGTGCCGGAACCTAAGTGTATGTTTGGGGGGGGGGGACAAGGAGATGGGGTAGCTGGTACAGGTTACAGGAAATAAAAAAAGACATTTTACGTTTTTACAGGAAATAAAATGGAAAGTTCCATTTACAGTAAAAAATAGGGTTTTACACTTTACAGATAAAGCAAATTCCTAATTACATTTTTATAATATACCTAATAATATGTGTTTAAGAATCAAAATTGGAAAATGTTTTATAAGCTTACAAAAAATCTTTGTACAAATTACGGACGAATAAAATGGCTGATTACATTTTACTTCTTGCCCATATCTACGAATTTTTTATTTAAATTACATTATTACGAAAATAAAAACAACTGATTACAGCTTACGAAAATACCCCTTGCCGACCCTCTATGTACTACGTTAGCTGTGGGTCCATTGCTCTTCTTGTGTCGGTCTTTTGTCTTTGTAATGGTTTATATCGACTTTTATTTGCGATACAGTTTGGCGTCGCAAGTTTGTGTTGTGCAAGTCTATGGGAAGAACCAATAGCTCTGCTGTGTCGATTAAATCATAATATCAAACAAAACAACTTTGAGGACACCAAATGTAACAGAATTTACTTAAATACCATTACAATAACTAAAGAGCAACACAAGAAGAGCTACGGACCCATAGCTAGCACTCTGTAAACTATATGGCCAAAGTGAAATTTCATCTCTATAGTAACGAACTATATGAGCAATAAATAAACCGGACGATTGCCTGTCTATGTACATTCACGATAAAATAAACGTCTGCTATTTCTAGAATATATACTAGTAAATTATTACTTTAAACTGGAGATAGTCAGACGTGTACTTACATGAAAGCAATTATTTTGTATTCAGTATTATAAAGTTTTCAAGTTCATGCCACATTTTTGTCGCTTAACACGTGATTCGTGATTAATAAAAGTTAATAAATAAAAGGGAAGTAGTCGTCGCGCCGAGCATGCGCGGGATATATGGGTCTCATATAAACAAAGATGGCGAATTTGACTGTTGCGCAGAACAACGAATACAAACTTATACGTTACCAAGCAGCTCTACTTAGGTATTTTTCAGGTGATTATAAGATATCGAAGGGCTCACTGGCGGTAATTAATGCAAGTTGCGCCCAGGTCAAACCTCATACTTGTGATTTTCATTAGATGAGCGCATTGGATTGTAGGAAAATCAATGTTTATCAACACAAATGTCACACATGCGCAGCGCGACGACTGCCGTCCTTTAAAGTTACTGTACTAGTATTACCGGTACAAACAGTTGATCTCGATGTGCGTTTGTGTTAGTAAAGTAAATAATTGTTATATGCATGTTATATGTTAGTATGCGAACATGGCATGGATTTGGACGAATCCCAGCATCAGTGCGTCATGTGAAATACATTACGCACTGGCGCATAGCTGTTATCATTTCAACCGTAAGTTACAAGAAACATGGAGGTAAAATACCCTTATGCTAGAAACTATCAATTATCATGTTGTGTTATAGCGTCCCCTTTTTATTTGAATAATCTGAGGTTTTTTATTTGAGTTATAATGAAAATTTGTTGAAAACAAATTGCAAACGAGCAACCGAAACAATTACATTTATGTGTGGCAATACAAATAAAGGGGGTGCTCACGGAACGTGTCATAGTTTTCTGGTGGCTTGGACAGTTTGATAGGTAGTGCATTGGTTATATTACGGTAGTTCTCTTTTTGAAGGATGTGGTGGCCCTGAAAAAGACCGTTTGGTTTGTGTACGCTAGGCATACGCTTTACTTAGAGCTGGTGTACTTGGTGCTGCCTTTCTTCGCTGCTTTACCGCTTGTATTGAACGTCAAATATAATGTTCGGAATGGTGGTAACGGACGAAGGTCCCAATATAAATAGTGAACAACATGCAAATGATGGATTCGACAAGCAAGGCGGGAAACGAAACGAACGCAAGAGAATACACAACTTTAAGTGCGTAGTATATTGACCTTTGACAATATACAACCAAGGTCGTGCTTTACTATATTCTGATTGGTGGATGTAGCATACGGTAAGAATCCGAGCAGTAGGTATAAATACTGCGAAGCAACCGCTAAATGACAATAGTTTTTCCTATCCAACTAAATTGAAAGTTCAATATGTCTGGTCGTGGTAAAGGAGGCAAGGCAAAGGGCAAGTCCAAGACTACCGTTAATTACAATTAACATGTAATACATGAGTACTAGTAACTAGTATTTGAAAATTCATACCATATAAGGCGTAACTTGATACAATGTAACCAATCAAATAGGTAATTTCCTATAAATTGTTGCGTGATATTTCACGCGGTACAGTAGAATGGCATAGGCAGTAATAATGACACACTGCCTTGTGCCAAGACAACATCCGACAAATTAAAACAAAATATTTAGGAATCATGACAGTACATTATTTACTAGGAATTATTTCCATGCTTGCAACGTAGGTTTATAAACTTGATTGCTAAAAAAAACACAGACATTCGTAGCGTTGTCTAAAATAACTACTGTTCCGAACACCAAAAAAATCAACATTTCCAGCAAAGTTGCTGACTGGTTTTCTAAGCGCGTCTCGAGATCGTTATATGATTAGTTTAAACACCGCGCCTCGACACCTGGAGGGACTGTGGTTAAAACCACTTTTACGAGAGTGTGTCGTACGAAATGCGCTCATTCACAAGAGTTACGACACATACCAAACTCCATCGACTGAGTCCAGAAATTTCATACTGTGTCAGAACATACATTTGTTGGATAACTTTCCCATTTATTATATACAATTTATACGATTGAATGAAATAAACTGAAAAGAAATCGCGTCGCGATCTTCTATTTATATTCAACATGTCCCAGTCCCCACTATTGGTTTGACGTCTGCTGTGGTAGTTCGACCTCAGACGACAAGTCGGAGGTTTGACCTAAGGTCTATGGTTTAACCGAACTTGTTCTAATCGCGTAACGATCTCCAGGCGGGCATAGCCGGTTGCTTTAATTTTCAGAAGAAAATGGAAACACGTCCCGGCCCACACATGATTTTCAAGTACACACAATGGACAAAAGCATTGCTACTCGTGTCAGGCATGGAACTATAATGTGTCAGGTAACTTTCCCAGAACTATTATTAAAATACCACGAATGTAATAGCACGTCCATGCTATAATTTACTGTACAACATGACATAACACACAATTTACGGCAATTCTCTTTTTGGAGGATGTGGTGGTCCTGAAAAGGACCATTTGGTTTGTGTTTGGCAAGTCTAACCACCAAAACCGTACAGAGTACGGCCCTGGCGTTTTAGGGCATAGACAACATCAATGGCGGTGACTGTCTTTCTCTTAGCGTGCTTGGTGTAGTTGACGGCATCACGGAGGACATTATCCAAGAAAACCTTCAACACACCACGGATTTCTTCGTAGATATAACAAGAGATACGCTTCACACCACCACGACGTGCAAGACGACGGATAGCAGGCTTGGTGATACCTTGGTTATACCTTTCACAAAGAACTCTACGATAACGCTTGGCGACTCTTTTTTCAAGACCTTTTCCCCCTTTACCACGACCAGACATGTTTGCCGAGTTTCGAATAAAATTCAACTGCCGAATACGATGAATCTGCCTTTCCTACATGATTTGTGTTTTTGATAGTTTGACAAGCTTCAAGTTGTGGATTTGCATCTCTATTCCCGATTTTATATTTCAAAAAAACTCTTGTTGCTGATTGGATATATTTTGCTACGGCCTCGTTCTATAGAAACAATGCCTGGGGTCAATGACAATGTACAACCTGTTTGGGGTCAAGCTCCTGAGAATCGGTTATTTGGTCTGCGCTGTCGTTAGATGCGACTGTGATAGTGAAATCTACGATAAATATTAGGCTATAATTTAGTCCTTCAAACTTTCAGTAGTCTGGTTGTCTGAGGGTTTAGTTTCTTGGCGGGGAGTTGAAATAACTAATACGAAAATTGAAATTGAAGAATTAAAACATAAATAAAGCTTGTCTCATTCTTTCTACCCCTATGCAATAATACTAGTCTTGATTGAATCACAGTGATTGAATCGTACACTCACTGGGTCCAGAGACCTTGATAAAGTTGTACAATAAAAAGAGGTACTAGAGCGATTCTTTCTACTTTATGCAAATTCCATAGTTGTTGACAACGTTTGTGTGTTACTGGTAATTCGCAAAGTGTTAGTATTATAGTAACGTCCTTATCTACAATATAACAAAACACTCATTATAAATTGGACAATGAACCCGCACTTTCTAAAGCTTGTTGACTCTCGTATCTCATTGTTGTTTTCCCGCGCTTCAGTTCTGTTTACGACGTGAACAGAAACGCTCGTCTCTAATGGCGCGAAATCAACCTATGTAAGGCGTGAAATATCCACAAACGACCGTTCTGCCTAAATGCAACCTAAAGAATAATCGTTGCTGGCCATTAGAAAATAAAATCCGCAGAGATCATGTTGAAGAAAAACAAAAATGAATCCGAGCTTACAATGACGACCAACCCCTAACGCAATACTATTTGTAATTGATCTATGGGGAGGAGTTGCTGAAAAATATAATTATCAAAGTGAACAAAATAAAGAGCGAATATTAGTTTTCACAAACTTTTTGAGTAGTTCCATCAAATAGTATTGCGTGTAGAAATGTGAAAATTAAAAAGATCATAAAAAGTAACAATGTAAAATATTTCACTATTTCATCACATTTTATTATTTTTGAAAAGCAAGTTCATGTTATGCGCCATGGATACAAATCCGCATTCCACTAACACTAACAAGACACTTATTTACAGCAAGTCTCGGAAGTATTGGGGCAGCCAATTTGCAAACTCGCTAGCGAATTTGCTAACTGCTTTGGTTTTGACTAACCGGTTGGCTTTCGAATCTCGCTGGCTTCGTCTTGCGGTCACGCCCACTTAAGGCGAATCTATGTAACAGTAGGGGACGATCCTCGTACTTCAGGATCTAGTCAGCGACGGTCTCGCAGTTGGATGGCGATTTCGCTTTCAAATATACCAGGGAAAGTGTTCTATGCCTTTCGTGTCCCCACAAAAACGACGAATGAGGTCGATTTTTTCCAGCGGTTGGCTTAATGTTACCCCGACGGATCGTTTGAGTGTGAAAATTTGTTATTTTCTCCCTGATTTGTAGGAAACTGTTTCTCAACTTGTCTATTCAGTTTCAAGCAGTGTTCAAGATGGTTACTCTCATATAATAAATATCGGTAGATTAATCGTATTTATCATATCACCACTTGTATGCCAGCTGATTGTGGCCAGTTTCGAGTTCAAATCATTCAGGGGAATCCAGACATGTACCAGGCTGCGCAAAAACATTCTATGTCCCCTAATGCAAAATAGACTCGCCAAGAGGGGACGCGATCACAAGCCGGCGCCAGTGAGATTCGAAAGCCAACCGTTTAGTCAAAACCAAAGCAGTTAGCCAATTCGCTAGCGAGTTTGCAAATTGGCTGCCTCAATACTTCTGAGACTTGCTGTAATAAATAACAGAATGGGAACATTCGCTCAACTACGTGTGTGAGCTTGGCTACAATTTCGGATTCGACTGGACAATTTTCAACCAATGAAATTGCGTTAATTTCGACCAATCAGAGGGACTCTAAATTGACCAATCATATTCCAGCTGGTAATGTTCCTGACCAATCCTAATGATATTCGCCTGGTATAAATAATGGGCGCCATTATTGAATCCTTATCACTTCATTCTTGTTTTGAACGAAGAATTCAACATGGCACGTACCAAGCAAACCGCACGTAAATCTACTGGTGGTAAAGCACCACGTAAACAGTTGGCAACCAAAGCCGCCCGTAAGAGCGCACCAGCCACAGGAGGAGTGAAGAAACCTCATCGTTACAGGCCAGGAACCGTAGCTCTCCGTGAGATTCGTCGTTACCAGAAAAGTACCGAACTTCTGATCCGTAAACTCCCATTCCAGCGTCTGGTCCGTGAAATCGCTCAAGATTTCAAAACTGATCTTCGTTTCCAGAGCTCTGCTGTCATGGCTCTACAAGAAGCAAGCGAAGCCTACCTAGTCGGTCTTTTCGAGGACACGAACTTGTGTGCTATCCACGCCAAGCGTGTCACCATCATGCCAAAAGATATCCAACTTGCCCGTCGTATCCGTGGCGAGCGTGCTTAAATTGTATGCGTCAGCGTACACAAACCAAACGGCCCTTTTCAGGGCCACCACATCCTCCAAAAAGAGAACTACCGTACAATGTAGTATATGTATAATAAACATTTGCATTGCAGTGGGTGCAAACGATATTCTTACGGGGAACTTCTCCGGGAAAGTCCTTATTTTTATTGTTCTTACCACCCAATTGACTTCTCCCACGGTTGAAGCACACACTTCGGACAATCATTCATAGGACAATTAACAACCCTCTTTGTAAAGTCACAACAATGTTGCAATATGAAAATCAACAACTCAGACATTAATAAATTAGTCCAAAATCAAGTGCTGCCAGTGGAAATGAGATTGTCACAAATGTGGCAAATTGTTTGCATAAAATATGATAATTTGATAGTGCCAAATAAAAAGATTCTCGCTATATTGCAATGTTTGTAGGGACTTTCCTATGGGGTCTGCTAACTCTCCGTACGAATTTTGTTTGCTTGTATGCAAATCATCTCAGCTTTGGACTTTAAGAAGATTCTGACAAAAATCAAGAATTGACCTTGGCGCCAATGCTGCTTAAAGGGACACCTTCCAGTTAAGCCTAATCTCATAACAAATTTACTTTCTGGATTAAAATAACAATGAATAACAAAAGATAGATTAACATTGTAAACAACATAAACAATAGTGTCCCATGATTCTTTGGTGCAATCCATGGGATTGAGGGGTTGACGTCCCCTTTAACATTTCCTTTCAAAGAATATGAACGAAGAATGAATGGGGTAGTGCCAACTAGTCATTTGTACTTTATTCGTATTTGTGGAAAGCAGGCGTAACGATCATAGTCAACTGA